TATACCTGTAATCAGGAGACTGAGGCAGGAGGATTGTCGGGAGCCTGCACTATGTAGTGAGTTCAAGGCCAGCTTGAACTACATAGTGAGACCCTGTCTCAAAAAATAAAATGATTAGGGCCTTGCCAGTTGGCATATAAGGGTGGCCAAGTATGGATTGAAGCAGAATACAAAATTACTTCAATTTTATTCTTAAAACTTTATAAAATACACATAAAACAAAACCATGAAGGAAATATTGTGAGTTGTGTATGTCACCAGTTATATGTATGTAAAGTTTCTTAGATATGACTAGCAAAAGCTAATATTTATCAGTTAGCGTGTGCCGTCTAACAACATTGTGAGATATGAATTTTGTTATTTTCAGTTAACAGAAAATTTTTCATTTGATAAAGATGTTTATTATTAGAGATGTTTTCAAATGTGTACAGAAATAGAAAGCATATTGTAATGAATGCCATGTAACTGTCCCCTGGCTTCACCACTGTCAGTTTGCATTTTTTAGTAAGCTGCAGAGTAGGGGTTTAAAGTCACACCTGTCTTATTCCAAAACCCATGCTTTTAGTTACAGTCCTCTTCATTTTTTCAGTTGATGTCACCAAGGATCTTATGATTATTTGGTGTTTTAGTAGACACAGCAAGGGCCCATGCTGGCCATACCCCATTATAACAGTGAGGGTCTGGTTGTAAGGAGATGGACAGAAGCCCTCTCTTTAACCCTGTGTATTTTGTAACAAGCATGTTTTAGCTGCAGTGTTCGTCAAAGACAAAACCTGCTGATAAGAGTTCATCCTGCTTTTTAAATCTTTGACCCATTTGTCACTCTGGCCATTCTAAAGGTGAAGGCCTGTGGATGTATTGGTCTTTCTGACTAAATCGGCCCTCTGCAGGTTGGGAAATTGTGTAATTATTAACTGTGGTAATGGACATGTGCTTGCAAGTTTCATCTGGTATGGTCATGAGCTTTACCCTCTGAGTACACACAGAATATACCCTAGAGTCTTTGAAACTTACCCAGTGTCCCGGACTTCACTCTTGTATGTGATTTTGCTAAGAAAAACATTGTTTTCCCCTATCCTTACCATTCTTCATCCCTCTATTCACATACACACAACTCCTATAAATTATAGTACTTAGTAGCAGCAGTCTTTGATGTAAAGATTTTTTTTTATTACTCTTTTTTAAGGCAGGTAAGATGGCACATACATGTAATCCCACCACGTGGGAGGCTGAGGCAGGAGGATTGCTGTGAGTTATAAGCCAGCTGGGGCTGTGTAGTGAGTTCAAGGCCAGCCTAGACTACATAGTGAGACCTTAACTGGAAAAACAGACCAAAACTAAACAAAACAAAAACCAAATTACTCATTTTTGTAGATAACTTTTAGAGGGCCGTGGCCCCACATTTATTGAGGAATTTATTGGGACACATAGCCAAGGCAGACCTAGGTCATGTTACATATAAATAGCTTGTGCTCTATAGAGTTTTGACTCATCTCAGGCATCTCCTATCTTGGGGATTTCTCTGAACTCTCAAGGCCACTCTGTGTCACCCCTGTGTGCTGCACTAGCAGTCCCTGCCCAGGAAACTCGTGGGGCATTGGAGCTTATCTTTGAGTTCTACTGTGAGCCTGTCCCATGCAGTGATACAAGAAGTCTGAAGTTCAGGAATGAGGAGGTGCAGTGTGATTTGTAAAGCATAATCAGATGTGTGGAGAGTAAAGGAATGGGATTTGACAGGTTCCACAGAGATGTGTGAGACAAACGTGTGGATCATGAAAGAAGAGATAGAGAAAAACCAGAGCAGTGAGAGGACCAGTTAGGAGAGGGGGGTGTTCTAGAGAAGAGTTCCAAATCGGAGTGGTGAAACATTGTGAGTGCTTATTCGGCAATCTGAGCTTCATTACTGTCTTAATAGAAGGAACTAAATAAAGTCAGATTCCAGAGCCTTTAGGAGAAAATGGTAAGCAAACACAGGAACCACTGAGTGCCGTAGCCCTTTCTAGACGTCTCGGAGATGACCTCCAGCAGGCTGTCCTTTGGGTAAGCCAGTCGGGGTAGCACTCCTGGCCCCGTGTTGGGGTGGGGAGTAGGGATGACTCCTGGGCTGTAGTGTGCTTTTTTCCTAAACATTTAACAGCATTAGTAATTATTATTTAATTAAATTCATTCATTCATTCATTCACTTTTGAGGCATGATCTCTCTATGTTGTTTAGACTTGCTTTGAACTCACTGTGTAGCCCAGGCCGGACACTCACTGTGCTCCTTTTGCCTCAGCCTCCTGAGTGCTGGGTTAACAGGTATGCGTTGCAATGCCCAGCAGTAATAATTTTAATAAATGGAGTATCAACATTTTGTGATTAACTCTAGTCTTAAGAGCCTATGAAAAATGCACATAAGGTAGTCTCACATTGGTTGGAGTCTCCCAGGCCTCTCCCCTCCAGAGATGCCACAACTTTTAGTTCAATAGCATTCATATTACTACTTTATCATTTTCACTTTAGCTCTCTCATTAAACTAGAAACCGCTTAACACTCCTGGTTATTGTTGGATTCTCAGTACCCGGCATAGTGCCCAGAAAGTAGTATCCACTGTTTTTATTATGTGAATGAATAAATAAACTCATCCATATCTGTCTTTTAAAGCACAAAATAATTCTAATTTGGTGGTCTTATGGAATTAAAAAAAGTGGAATGTTTGAGGAGAGAGGGAGGGATAGTTTCAAATGGCAGTAAGATGGATTAAAAATTTACCTTTGGATTTGGCTATTTGAAGGTCATTTGTTTCCAGAATGAAAATATTATAGCAGAAACCGTATTTAAGTGAAGAATAAATGAGAGAGAGAGCAAAGAAGCAACATAGGAGAAATTTCTTTGTTTCTGTTTCATTTTTGAAAATTTGAGGCTACAGGGAAGAAATCACTGAAGAAGCCCAAAGACTTCAGAGATAATTTTTTGTTATTGGTAATGGTATGTGCTTGATTTGCTTAGATCTGAATATTCCCACCAATACATCAGGATAATATAGTCCTCCCTCTTCCCCTTATGTAGTTTGAACTTGGGGGTTTTTGCTGTGCTGTTTGGGGCCTCCTACTGGCAAATCTAATAGTGGCATATAAATAGTAAAACAAATTAGATCTGATTATTAAACACATTAGATCAGTTATTCATTATACATGTTTCTATAATCTTTTTGTAAGAAATAAGAGTGGGATTTGGGGGTAATTATAATAGTGCTTAGTTCTTTGATTTTCAATGAGTCATAACTTGACACCTAAAATTATATAATTCTTCTTAGCAATAATTCACCATTATAAGGTGTTTGAAAATTGCAGTATATTTATTTTAGCAGCTGGTACTTTAACAGCTGCTGTCACTGTACTAAAATCTTGTCTTGAAATGTGACATATAGGGCCATTCTTATATAACTGTTGGATCATTATTTTCAACTTAAAGATTGCAAAAGAAAAGCCTGAATTACCAAGCAAAAAATTGATATTATGAAAATTATATATATCATTACTCATTAGAGTAAAACTATTAAAATAGAAATCTTTTTCAAAAGTCACCCATAACCTTGCTTCAGAATGTTTTTTCTCTAGGATTTTTAATATTATAAAATATTTCTGAACAATATAAGAATATCTCTGTAATTACACCCACTTAAAAAAAATCAAATGCAATGGTTTGATTTCAATAGTTGAAGCCCTCTGTCTCCCTTTTATTTATCACATTCCCATTCCTCCCTCCCAAAGCTAATTACAGTCTTACATTTGTTTTTCTATTCTCAAGAATATTTGAAAATTCGATATATTGGTATCCTAAGTTACATACTTTTAAAGCTATACTTTTTTCATTTAAAGTTATGTTTGTATGATGTATCTGTGTTGAGATGTAGTTCTTGTTCACTTATTTTTGTTGCCATATAGTATTACCTCTTTGAATATTTTATGCTTTATCCATTCTTTTCTTCATGGGCTTCTAGGTTATTCATAATTTATTGCTTTTACTTCATTTTTCTAGGGAGCCATGTTTGGCATAAAGGGATGACCCTGTTTATACAGGGGTGGTACAGCTAAGAGGATGTAATCAAGGGCTCATGTATAGCCCTTATAGAGGTTTACAGACATTTTGTCCTCCACTGCCGCTTGCAATCTGCCTAGACTGTTGTGCTTCAAAATGACCATTTGATTAGGACTAGAAACTACATAAGGGCTTTGCAGTCAGTTTTCAGTTAGCAGTCACAACCCTAGGAGCAAGAGCTTACCCAACTGGCATTTATAGGACTAATGCTGAGAGAGATAGAGATATATATATTATATATATATAATATATATATTATATAGATAATATGTATTATAATATATATAATATATATAATATA